CACTCACTCACCCACTCACTCACTCACCCACTCAGTCACTCACCCAGTCACTCACTCACTCAGTCACTCACTCAGTCACTCACCCACTCACTCACCCACTCAGTCACTCACTCACCCACTCAGTCAATCACTCAGTCACTCACCCACTCACTCAGTCGCTCACCCAGTCACTCACTCACTCACTCAGTCACTCACTCACCCACTCAGTCACTCACCCAGTCACTCACTCACCCACTCAGTCACTCACCCAGTCACTCACTCACCCACTCACTCACCCACTCAGTCGCTCACCCACTCACTCACCCACTCAGTCACTCACTCACCCACTCAGTCAATCACTCAGTCACTCACCCACTCACTCAGTCACTCACCCAGTCACTCACTCAGTCACTCACCCACTCACTCACTCACCGACTCAGTCACTCACCCAGTCACTCACCCAGTCACTCACCCACTTAAGTCACGCACCTGGTGAGAGGGTGACTGAGTGGGTGAGTGAGTGAGTGGGTGAGTGAGTGAGTGACTGACTGAGTGACTGACTGACTGAGTGACTGACTGAGTGACTGACTGAGTGACTGACTGAGTGACTGACTGACTGACTTAGTGACTGAGTGACTGACTGAGTGACTGACTGACTGAGTGACTGACTGAGTGACTGACTGAGTGAGTGACTGACTGAGTGACTGAGTGAGTGACTGACTGAATGACTGAGTGAGTGACTGAGTGACTGACTGAATGACTGAGTGAGTGACTAACTGAGTGACTGACTGAGTGACTGACTGAGTGACTGAGTGACTGACTGACTGAGTGACTCACTGACTGACTGAGTGACTGACTGACTGAGTGACTGACTGAGTGACTGACTGACTGAGTGACTGACTGAGTGACTGACTGACTCACTGACTGACTGAGTGACTGACTGACTGAGTGACTGACTGAGTGAGTGACTGACTGAGTGAGTGACTGACTGAGTGACTGACTGACTGAGTGACTGACTGAGTGACTAAGTGACTGACTGAGTGACTGACTGAGTGACTGACTGAGTGACTGACTGACTGACTTAGTGACTGAGTGACTGACTGAGTGACTGAGTGACTGACTGACTGACTGAGTGACTGACTGACTGAGTGACTGACTGAGCAACTGACTGAGTGACTGACTGAGTGACTGACTGAGTGACTGACTGAGTGAGTGACTGACTGAGTGACTGAGTGAGTGACTGACTGAATGACTGACTGAGTGACTGAGTGACTGAGTTAATGACTGAGTGACTGAGTGACTGAGTGAGTGACTGAGTGACTGAGTGACTGACTGAGTGACTGACTGACTGAGTGACTGACTGAGTGACTAACTGAGTGACTGAGTGACTGACTGACTGAGTGACTCACTGACTGACTGAGTGACTGACTGACTGAGTGACTGACTGAGTGACTGACTGACTGAGTGACTGACTGAGTGACTGACTGAGTGACTGACTGACTCACTGACTGACTGACTGAGTGAGTGACTGACTGAGTGAGTGACTGACTGAGTGACTGACTGACTGAGTGACTGACTGAGTGACTGAGTGACTGACTGAGTGACTGACTGACTGAGTGACTGACTGAGTGACTGAGTGACTGACTGACTGAGTGACTGACTGACTGAGTGACTGAGTGACTGACTGACTGAGTGACTGAGTGACTGAGTGACTGACTGACTGAGTGACTGACTGAGTGACTGACTGACTGAGTGACTGACTGAGTGACTGAGTGACTGACTGACTGAGTGACTGACTGAGTGACTGACTGAGTGACTGACTGACTGAGTGACTGACTGAGTGACTGACTGACTGAGTGACTGACTGAGTGACTGAGTGACTGACTGAGTGACTGAGTGACTGAGTGACTGACTGACTGAGTGACTGACTGAGTGACTAACTGACTGAGTGACTGACTGAGTGACTAACTGACTGACTGAGTGACTGACTGAGTGACTGAGTGACTGACTGACTGAGTGAGTGACTGAGTGACTGAGTGACAGTGACTGACTGACTGACTGACTGAGTGACTGACTGAGTGAGTGACTGAGTGACTGAGTGACTGACTGAGTGACTGACTGACTGAGTGAGTGACTGAGTGACTGACTGAGTGACTGAGTGACTGACTGACTGACTGAGTGACTGACTGAGTGACTGACTGACTTAGTGACTGAGTGACTGACTGAGTGACTGAGTGACTGACTGACTGAGTGACTGACTGAGTGACTGAGTGAGTGACTGACTGAATGACTGAATGACTGAGTGAGTGACTGACTGAATGACTGAGTGAGTGACTAACTGAGTGACTGACTGAGTGACTGACTGAGTGACTGACTGAGTGACTGAGTGACTGACTGAGTGACTGACTGACTGAGTGACTGACTGAGTGACTGACTGACTCACTGACTGACTGAGTGACTGAGTGAGTGACTGACTGAATGACTGAGTGAGTGACTGAGTGACTGACTGAATGACTGAGTGAGTGACTGACTGAGTGACTGACTGAGTGACTGACTGAGTGACTGAGTGACTGACTGAGTGACTGACTGACTGAGTGACTGACTGAGTGACTGAGTGAGTGACTGACTGAATGACTGAGTGAGTGACTGAGTGACTGACTGAATGACTGAGTGAGTGACTAACTGAGTGACTGACTGACTGACTGAGTGACTGACTGAGTGACTGAGTGACTGACTGAGTGACTGACTGACTGAGTGACTGACTGAGTGACTGACTGACTCACTGACTGACTGAGTGACTGACTAACTGACTGAGTGAGTGACTGAGTGAGTGACTGAGTGAGTGACTGACTGACTAAGTGACTGACTGAGTGACTGACTGACTGACTGACTCACTGACTGACTGAGTGACTGACTAACTGACTGAGTGAGTGACTGAGTGAGTGACTGAGTGAGTGACTGACTGAGTGAGTGACTGACTGAGTGACTGACTGAGTGACTGACTAACTGACTGAGTGACTGAGTGAGTGACTGACTGAGTGACTGAGTGAGTGACTGACTGAGTGACTGACTGAGTGACTGACTGACTGAGTGACTGACTGAGTGACTGACTGAGTGACTGACTGAGTGACTGAGTGACTGACTGAGTGACTGACTGAGTGACTGAGTGAGTGACTGAGTGACTGACTGAGTGACTGAGTGAGTGACTGAGTGACTGACTGAGTGATTGACTGACTGAGTGACTGAGTGACTGACTGACTGAGTGACTGACTGACTGAGTGACTGAGTGACTGACTGACTGAGTGACTGAGTGACTGACTGAGTGACTGACTAACTAAGTGACTGAGTGACTGACTGAGTGACTGACTGAGTGACTGAGTGAGTGACTGACTGAGTGACTGACTGACTGAGTGACTGACTGAGTGACTGACTGAGTGACTGACTGACTGAGTGACTGACTGAGTGACTGACTGAGTGACTGACTGAGTGACTGAGTGACTGACTAACTAAGTGACTGACTGAGTGACTGACTAAGTGACTGACTGAGTGACTGACTGAGTGACTAACTAAGTGACTGACTGAGTGACTGACTAACTAAGTGACTAACTAAGTGACTGACTGAGTGACTGACTGACTGACTGAGTGACTGAGTGACTGACTGACTGAGTGACTGAGTGACTGACTGACTGAGTGACTGACTAACTAAGTGACTGACTGACTGAGTGACTGAGTGACTGACTGACTGACTGAGTGACTGAGTGACTGACTAACTAAGTGACTGACTGACTGAGTGACTGACTGACTGAGTGACTAACTAAGTGACTGAGTGACTGACTGACTGAGTGACTGAGTGACTGACTGACTGAGGGACTGACTGACTAACTGACTGACTGAGTGACTGACTCACTGAGCGGTGTCGCCTTGGTACAGTGCGTTCCAGCGCTCTGATGCGGCACCATGTGTACAGTGGGCAGTGTGTACAGTGATACAGTGTGTACAGTGATACAGTGCGTACAGTGAACTTATTTCCGTGACGTCTTAGAGATTACAGTGATGGTGGTGGTGATGGTGATGATGGTGGTGATGGTGGTGATGATGGTGGTGATGATGGTGGTGGTGGTGATGGTGGTGGTGATGGTGGTGGTGATGATGGTGGTGATGATGGTGGTGGTGATGGTGGTGGTGGTGATGATGGTGATGGTGGTGATGATGATGATGGTAGTGGTGATGATGGTGGTGGTGATGGTGGTGATGGTGGTGGTGATGATGGTGGTGATGGTGGTGGTGATGGTGGTGGTGGTGATGGTGGTGGTGGTGATGGTGGTGATGGTGGTGGTGGTGATGGTGGTGGTGATGGTGGTGGTGGTGATGGTGGTGATGGTAGTGGTGATGATGGTGGTGGTGATGGTGGTGATGGTGGTGGTGGTGGTGGTGATGATGGTGGTGGTGGTGATGGTGGTGGTGGTGATGATGGTGGTGATGATGGTGGTGGTAGTGGTGATGATGGTGGTGGTGGTGATGATGGTGATGGTGGTGATGGTGGTGGTGGTGATGGTGGTGATGGTGATGATGGTGATGGTGGTGGTGGTGATGATGGTGATGGTGGTGATGGTGGTGGTGATGATGGTGGTGGTGATGATGGTGGTGGTGATGGTGATGATGGTGATGGTGGTGATGGTGATGGTGGTGATGGTGGTGGTGGTGATGGTGGTGATGGTGGTGGTGGTGATGGTGGTGATGATGGTGGTGATGGTGGTGATGATGGTGGTGATGGTGGTGATGATGGTGGTGGTGGTGATGGTGGTGGTGATGGTGGTGGTGATGGTGGTGGTGATGGTGGTGGTGATGGTGGTGATGGTGATGGTGATGATGGTGGTGATGGTGATGGTGGTGGTGATGATGGTGATGGTGGTGATGATGAAGATGGTGGTGATGGTGATGGTGGTGATGGTGGTGATGGTGGTGATGATGGTGATGGTGGTGGTGGTGATGGTGGTGATGGTGATGGTGGTGGTGATGGTGATGGTGGTGATGGTGATGGTGGTGATGGTGGTGATGGTGGTGATGATGGTGATGGTGGTGGTGGTGATGGTGGTGATGGTGATGGTGGTGGTGATGGTGGTGGTGATGGTGATGGTCTAGGTAGGGATGACTCCTGTGGCTAACAGGATGATGATGGTGAGGATGATGGTGAGGATGGTGATGATGATGACCCAGGTTTTGACGTTTCGCCACCAGGCCCTGCGCAGGATCTGGGTAGATGTCTTCTGGAAGGCGCCAGCCTGAATCATCAACAACATCAACAACAACATCAACATTAATAACAACATCAACATCATCAACAACATCATCAACAACATCAACAACAACATCAACAACAACATCAACATCATCAACATCAACAACAACATCAACAACAAGAACAACAACAACATCAACATCATCAACATCATCAACAACATCATCAACATCAACAACAACATCAACAACATCATCAACATCATCAACAACAACATCAACAACAACATCAACATCATCAACATCAACAACAACATCAACAACAAGAACAACAACAACAACATCAACATCAACATCATCAACATCATCAACAACATCATCAACAACATCATCAACAACATCATCAACATCAACAACAACATCAACAACATCATCAACAACAACATCATCAACATCATCAACAACAATAACAACATCAACAACATCAACAACAACATCTACAACAACATCATCAACATCATCAACAACATCAACAACAACAACATCAACAACAACATCATCAACAACAATAACAACATCAACAACATCAACAACAGCAACTACTACTACAACAACAACATCAACAACAACATCATCAACAACAATAACAACAACATCAACAACAACAACATCTACAACAACATCAACATCATCAACAACAATAACAACATCAACAATAACAACAACATCAACAACAACATCAGCAACAACATCAACAACATCATCAACATCAACATCATCAACATCAACAACAACAACATCATCAACAACATCATCAACAACAATAACAACAACAACAACAACAACATCAGCAACAACATCAACAACATCAACAACAACATCATCAACAACATCAACAACAACATCATCAACATCAACATCATCAACAACATCAACAACATCAACATCAACAACATCAACTACTACTACAACAACATCAACAACATCTACAACAACATCAACAACATCATCAACAACAATAACAACAACATCAACAACATCTACAACATCAACAACAACATCTACAACATCATCAACATCATCATCAACAACAATAACAACAACAACATCAGCAACAACATCAACAACAACATCATCAACAACAACATCATCAACAACATCAACAACAACATCATCAACATCATCAACAACAATAACAACATCAACAACATCAACATCAACAACATCAACAACAACATCTACAACAACATCAACAACATCATCAACAACAATAACAACAACAACATCTACAACAACAACATCAACATCTACAACAACATCATCAACATCATCAACAACAATAACAACATCAACAATAACATCAGCAACAACATCAACAACAACATCATCAACATCAACAACAACATCATCATCAACAACAACAACTTCAACCATCAACAACAACATCAACAATATCAACAACAACAACAACATCACCAACATCAACAACATCATCAACACCACCATCACCACCACCATCACCACCATCACCATCATCACCACCATCATCACCACCATCACCACCATCGCCATCACCACCATCACCACCACCACCATCACCACCACCATCACCATCATCACCACCACCACCATCACCACCATCACCATCATCACCACCACCATCACCACCACCATCACCATCACCACCATCACCATCACCACCATCACCACCATCACCATCATCACCACCATCATCACCACCATCATCACCATTATCACCATCATCATCACCACCACCATCACCACCACCATCACCATTACCACCACCATCACCACCACTACCATCACCACCACCACCATCACCACCACCACCATCACCACCACCATCACCACCATCACCACCACCACCACCACCATCACCACCATCACCACCACCATCACCACCATCACCATCACCACCATTACCACCATCATCATCACCATCACCACCATCACCACCATCACCACCACCACCATCACCACCACCACCACCATCACCACCACCACCACCATCACCACCACCATCACCACCACCACCATCATCACCACCATCACCACCACCACCATCACCACCACCACCATCACCACCATCACCACCATCACCACCACCATCACCACCACCACCACCATCACCATCACCACCACCACCACCATCACCACCATCATCATCATCACCATCACCACCATCATCACCACCATCATCACCACCATCACCACCATCACCATCACCACCATCATCACCACCATCATCACCACCACCACCACCATCACCACCACCATCACCATCACCACCATCATCACCACCATCACCACCATCACCATCACCACCACCACCATCACCACCATCATCACCACCATCACCACCACCACCATCACCACCATCACCACCATCACCACCACCATCACCACCATCACCACCACCACCACCATCACCACCACCACCATCACCACCACCACCACCATCACCACCATCACCACCATCACCATCACCACCATCACCACCAACACCACCACCATCACCACCATCACCACCACCACCATCACCACCACCACCATCACCACCATCATCACCACCATCACCACCATCACCATCACCACCACCACCATCACCACCATCATCACCACCATCACCACCACCACCATCACCACCATCACCACCATCACCACCACCATCACCACCATCACCACCACCACCACCATCACCACCACCACCATCACCACCACCACCACCATCACCACCATCACCACCATCACCATCACCACCATCACCACCAACACCACCACCATCACCACCATCACCACCACCACCATCACCACCACCACCACCATCACCACCATCACCACCATCATCACCACCACCACCATCACCACCACCTTCACCGTGTTTTGTAGTTCAACTGTTTTGTCCACCAAGTCGTCCAGACGCTCGCCCCGCTGAAGGACTTTCTCCACATTGTCCACCATCACCCCCTTCACTCCCTCCACCTGCAGGCACAGAGTCACCCATCAGTAGAGTCACCCATCAGTAGAGTCACCCATCAGTAGAGTCACCCAACAGTAGAGTCACCGATCGGTAGAGTCACCCTTCAGTAGAGTCACCCTTCACTAGAGTCACCCTTCAGTAGAGTCACCCAACAGTAGAGTCACCCTTCAGTAGAGTCACCCATCAGTAGAGTCACCCATCACTATCAGTAGAGTCACCCATCAGTAGAGTCACCCATCAGTAGAGTCACCCTTCAGTAGAGTCACCCTTCACTAGAGTCACCATCACTAGAGTCACCCTTCAGTAGAGTCACCCTTCACTAGAGTCACCCTTCACTACCACTATAGTCACCCTTCACTATAGTCACCCTTCACTACCACTATAGTCACCCTTCACTACCACTATAGTCACCCTTCACTACCACTATAGTCACCCTTCACTACCACTATAGTCACCCTTCACTACCACTATAGTCACCCTTCACTACCACTATAGTCACACTTCACTACCACTATAGTCACCCTTCACTATAGTCACCCTTCACTATAGTCACCCTTCACTACCACTATAGTCACCCTTCACTACCACTATAGTCACCCTTCACTACCACTATAGTCACCCTTCACTACCACTATAGTCACCCTTCACTACCACTATAGTCACCCTTCACTACCACTATAGTCACACTTCACTACCACTATAGTCACCCTTCACTATAGTCACCCTTCACTATAGTCACCCTTCACTACCACTATAGTCACCCTTCACTACCACTATAGTCACCCTTCACTACCACTATAGTCACCCTTCACTATAGTCACCCTTCACTATAGTCACCCTTCACTACCTCCTCACTGAGGGGGCATGTCCACACTGAGGGGGGCGTGTCCTCACTGAGGGGGCGTGGCATCACTGAGGGGGCGTTGCATCACTGAGGAGGCGTGGCCTCACCGAGGGGGGCGTGTCCTCACTGAGGGAGCGTGGCCTCACTGAGGGGGGCGTGTCCTCACGGAGGTTGTGTGGCATCACTTAGGGGGCGTGGCATCACTTAGGGGGCGTGGCATCACTGAGGGGCGTGTCCTCACTGAGGGGGCGTGGCCTCACCGAGGGGGCGTGGCCTAACCGGGGGGGGGCGTGGCCTAACTGAGGGGGCCTGTCCTCGCCGAGGGGGCGTGGCCTCGCTGAGGGGGGCGTGGCATCACTGAGGGGGCGTGGCATCACTGAGGGGGCGTGGCATCACTGAGGGGGCGTGTTGACTAGTTGTTGTGGTGGTAGTTGTTGTGGTGGTTGTTGTTGTGGTTGTTGTGGTAGTTGTTGTGGTAGTTGTTGTGGTAGTTGTTGTGGTGGTTGTTGTGGTAGTTGTTGTGGTAGTTGTTGTGGTGGTTGTTGTTGTGGTTGTTGTGGTAGTTGTTGTGGTAGTTGTTGTGGTAGTTGTTGTGATGGTTGTTGTGGTAGTTGTTGTGGTTGTTGTGGTGGTTGTTGTTGTGGTTGTTGTGGTAGTTGTTGTGGTAGTTGTTGTGGTGGTTGTTGTTGTGGTGGTTGTTGTGGTAGTTGTTGTGGTAGTTGTTGTGGTGGTTGTTGTGGTAGTTGTTGTGGTAGTTGTTGTGGTGGTTGTTGTGGTAGTTGTTGTGGTAGTTGTTGTGGTGGTTGTTGTGGTAGTTGTTGTGATGGTTGTTGTGGTATTTGTTGTGGTTGTTGTGGTGGTTGTTGTTGTGGTTGTTGTGGTAGTTGTTGTGGTAGTTGTTGTGGTAGTTGTTGTTGTGGTAGTTGTGGTGGTAGTTGTTGTGGTAGTTGTTGTGGTGGTTGTTGTGGTAGTTGTTGTGGTAGTTGTTGTGGTAGTTGTTGTGATGGTTGTTGTGGTAGTTGTTGTGGTGGTTGTTGTTGTTGTAGTTGTTGTGGTTGTTGTTGTAGTGGTTGTTGTGGTGGTTGTTGTGGTAGTTGTTGTTGTTGTGGTGGTTGTTGTGGTAGTTGTTGTGGTAGTTGTTGTTGTTGTAGTTGTTGTGGTGGTTGTTGTGGTAGTTGTTGTGGTGGTTGTTGTTGTGGTTGCTGTGGTAGTTGTTGTGGTGGTTGTTGTGGTAGTTGTTGTGGTAGTTGTTGTTGTGGTTGTTGTGGTAGTTGTTGTGGTGGTTGTTGTGGTGGTTGTTGTTGTGGTGGTTGTTGTGGTTGTTGTTGTGGTAGTTGTTGTTGTGATAGTTGTTGTGGTAGTTGTTGTGGTAGTTGTTGTGGTAGTTGTTGTGGTAGTTGTTGTGGTAGTTGTTGTGGTAGTTGTTGTGGTGGTTGTTGTGGTTGTTGTTGTGGTAGTTGTTGTTGTGATAGTTGTTGTGGTAGTTGTTGTGGTAGTTGTTGTGGTAGTTGTTGTGGTTGTTGTTGTGGTAGTTGTTGTGGTAGTTGTTGTGGTAGTTGTTGTGGTGGTTGTTGTTGTGGTAGTTGTTGTGGTGGTTGTTGTGGTAGTTGTTGTGGTGGTTGTTGTGGTGGTAGTTGTTGTGGTGGTTGTTGTGATAGTTGTTGTGGTAGTTGTTGTGGTAGTTGTTGTGGTAGTTGTTGTGGTAGTTGTTGTGGTGGTTGTTGTGGTAGTTGTTGTAGTAGTAGTTGTTGTGGTAGTTGTTGTGGTGGTTGTGGTGGTAGTTGTTGTGGTGGTTGTTGTGGTAGTTATTGTGGTGGTTGTTGTGGTGGTTGTTGTGGTGGTTGTTGTGGTGGTTGTTGTGGTAGTTGTTGTGGTGGTTGTTGTGGTGGTTGTTGTGATGGTTGTTGTGGTAGTTGTTGTGGTGGTGGTTGTGGTGGTTGTTGTGGTAGTTGTTGTGGTAGTGGTTGTGGTAGTTGTTGTGGTGGTTGTTGTGGTAGTTGTTGTGGTGGTTGTTGTGGTAGTTGTTGTTGTGGTAGTTGTTGTGGTGGTTGTTGTGGTAGTTGTTGTGGTTGTTGTGGTGGTTGTTGTTGTGGTAGTTGTTGTGGTAGTTGTTGTGGTAGTTGTTGTGGTGGTTGTTGTTGTGGTAGTTGTTGTGGTGGTTGTGGTGGTAGTTGTTGTGGTGGTTGTTGTGGTAGTTGTTGTGGTAGTTGTTGTGGTTGTTGTTGTGGTAGTTGTTGTGGTAGTTGTTGTGGTAGTTGTTGTGGTGGTTGTTGTTGTGGTTGTTGTGGTAGTTGTTGTGGTAGTTGTTGTGGTGGTTGTTGTGGTAGTTGTTGTGGTGGTTGTTGTGGTGGTAGTTGTTGTGGTGGTTGTTGTGATAGTTGTTGTGGTAGTTGTTGTGGTAGTTGTTGTGGTAGTTGTTGTGGTAGTTGTTGTGGTGGTTGTTGTGGTAGTTGTTGTAGTAGTAGTTGTTGTGGTAGTTGTTGTGGTGGTTGTGGTGGTAGTTGTTGTGGTGGTTGTTGTGGTAGTTGTTGTGGTGGTTGTTGTGGTGGTTGTTGTGGTGGTTGTTGTGGTGGTTGTTGTGGTAGTTGTTGTGGTGGTTGTTGTGGTGGTTGTTGTGATGGTTGTTGTGGTAGTTGTTGTGGTGGTGGTTGTGGTGGTTGTTGTGGTAGTTGTTGTGGTAGTGGTTGTGGTAGTTGTTGTGGTGGTTGTTGTGGTAGTTGTTGTGGTGGTTGTTGTGGTAGTTGTTGTGGTAGTTGTTGTGGTAGTTGTTGTGGTAGTTGTTGTGGTGGTTGTTGTGGTAGTTGTTGTGGTGGTTGTTGTGGTGGTTGTTGTGATGGTTGTTGTGGTAGTTGTTGTGGTGGTGGTTGTGGTGGTTGTTGTGGTAGTTGTTGTGGTAGTGGTTGTGGTAGTTGTTGTGGTGGTTGTTGTGGTAGTTGTTGTGGTGGTTGTTGTGGTAGTTGTTGTTGTGGTAGTTGTTGTGGTGGTTGTTGTGGTAGTTGTTGTGGTAGTTGTTGTGGTAGTTGTTGTGGTGGTTGTTGTGGTTGTGAACCTGTATACGGAGTTCCTCGACTCTGGTTGTTGCTTGAGATGACGTCTCCTGAACCACCACAACAACAACATCACTAGTTAACAACATCACTAGTTAACAACAACAACATCACTAGTTAACAACAACAACATCACTAGTTAACAACATCACTAGTTAACAACATCACTAGTTAACAACATCACTAGTTAACAACATCACTAGTTAACAACAACAACATCACTAGTTAACAACATCACTAGTTAACAACAACAACATCACTAGTTAACAACATCACTAGTTAACAACATCAACATCACTAGTTAACAACATCACTAGTTAACAACATCACTAGTTAACAACAACAACATCACTAGTTAACAACAACATCACTAGTTAACAACATCACTAGTTAACAACATCAACATCACTAGTTAACAACAACATCACTAGTTAACAACATCACTAGTTAACAACATCACTAGTTAACAACATCACTAGTTAACAACAACAACATCACTAGTTAACAACAACAACATCACTAGTTAACAACATCACTAGTTAACAACAACAACATCACTAGTTAACAACATCACTAGTTAACAACAACATCACTAGTTAACAACATCACTAGTTAACAACATCACTAGTTAACAACAACAACATCACTAGTTAACAACATCACTAGTTAACAACATCACTAGTTAACAACAACAACATCACTAGTTAACAACAACAACATCACTAGTTAACAACATCACTAGTTAACAACATCACTAGTTAACAACAACAACATCACTAGTTAACAACATCAACATCACTAGTTAACAACATCAACATCACTAGTTAACAACATCACTAGTTAACAACATCACTAGTTAACAACATCAACATCACTAGTTAACAACATCACTAGTTAACAACAACAACATCACTAGTTAACAACATCACTAGTTAACAACAACAACATCACTAGTTAACAACAACAACATCACTAGTTAACAACAACAACATCACTAGTTAACAACATCACTAGTTAACAACAACAACATCACTAGTTAACAACATCACTAGTTAACAACATCACTAGTTAACAACATCACTAGTTAACAACAACAACATCACTAGTTAACAACAACAACATCACTAGTTAACAACAACAACATCACTAGTTAACAACATCACTAGTTAACAACAACAACATCACTAGTTAACAACATCACTAGTTAACAACAACAACATCACTAGTTAACAACAACAACATCACTAGTTAACAACATCACTAGTTAACAACATCACTAGTTAACAACAACAACATCACTAGTTAAACAACATCACTAGTTAACAACATCACTAGTTAACAACAACAACATCACTAGTTAACAACATCACTAGTTAACAACAACAACATCACTAGTTAACAACATCAACATCACTAGTTAACAACATCAACATCACTAGTTAACAACATCACTAGTTAACAACATCACTAGTTAACAACAACAACATCACTAGGTAAACAACAAACAAACATCACTAGTTAACAACATCACTAGTTAACAACATCACTAGTTAACAACAACAACATCACTAGTTAACAACATCAACATCACTAGTTAACAACATCAACATCACTAGTTAACAACATCACTAGTTAACAACATCACTAGTTAACAACATCACTAGTTAACAACATCACTAGTTAACAACAACAACATCACTAGTTAACAACATCACTAGTTAACAACAACAACATCACTAGTTAACAACAACATCACTAGTTAACAACAACAACATCACTAGTTAACAACATCACTAGTTAACAACAACAACATCACTAGTTAACAACATCACTAGTTAACAACATCACTAGTTAACAACATCACTAGTTAACAACAACAACATCACTAGTTAACAACAACAACATCACTAGTTAACAACAACAACATCACTAGTTAACAACATCACTAGTTAACAACAACAACATCACTAGTTAACAACAACAACATCACTAGTTAACAACAACAACATCACTAGTTAACAACAACAACATCACTAGTTAACAACATCACTAGTTAACAACAACAACATCACTAGTTAACAACATCACTAGTTAACAACATCATAGTTAACAACAACAACATCACTAGTAACAACATCACTAGTTAACAACATCACTAGTTAACAAATCACTAGTTAACAACAACAACATCACTAGTTAACAACATCACTAGTTAACAACATCACTAGTTAACAACAACAACATCACTAGTTAACAACATCACTAGTTAACAACATCACTAGTTAACAACATCAACATCACTAGTTAACAACAACAACATCACTAGTTAACAACATCACTAGTTAACAACACACTATTTAACACACATCATAGTGTAACGAACATACTATTAACACATCACTAGTTAACAAACAATCAACATCATCTAGTTAAACAACAACAACATCACTAGTTACCAACATCAACATCACTAGTTAACAACACATCACTAGTCTAACAAAACATCACTAGTTAACAACAACATCACGTAGTTAAACAACAAACATCATCATAGTTAACAACAACAACATCACTAGTTAACACACAACATCACTAGTTAACAACACAACATCACTAGTTAACAACAACAATCCATCACTAGTTACAACATCACTAGGTAACATCATCACTAGTTTAACAACATCACTAGTTAACAACAACATCACTAGTTAACAACAAACATCCTAGTTACACATCACGTTACACAACATCACTTTATCACTAGTTAACAACAACAACCATCAGCTAGTTAACCAACATCACTAGTTAACACAACAACATCACTAGTTAACAACAACAAAACATCACTAGTTTAACCAGCAACATCACTAGTTAACAACATCACTAGTTAACAACCATCACTAGTTAACAACAACATCACTAGTTAACAACAACAACATCACTAGTTAACAACATCACTAGTTAACAACATTCAACTATCACTAGGTTAACAACAACTCACTAGTTAACAACATCACTAGTTAACAACAACAATCACTAGTTAACAACATTCACTAACAACATCACTAGTTAACAACAACAACATCCCTAGTTAACAACAACAACTCACTAGTTCAAACAACCATCACTATTCACAACATCCAACTAGTTCACCAACAACAATCACTAGTTAACACCAACAACATCACTAGTTAACAACTATCAACATCACTAGTTAACAACATCACTAGTTAACAACATCACTAGTTAACAACAACAACATCACTAGTTAACAACAAACAACATCACTAGTTAACAACAACATCCACTAGTTAACAACAACATCACTAAGTTTAACAACATCACTAGTTAACCAACAACATCACTAGTTAAAAACACACAACATCACAGTAACAACATCACTAGTTAACTAGTTAACATCACTAGTTAACTAGGTAACATCACTAGTTAACAAACATCACCTAGTCTAACAACATCAACATCACTAGTTAACAACCTCATTAGTTAACAACATCACTAGTTAACAACAACAACATCACTATGTTAACAAACATCACTAGTTAACAACATCAACATCACTAGTTAACAATACATCACTAGTTAACTAGTTAACATCACTAGTTAACTAGTTAACATCACTAGTTAACACTAGTTAACATCACTAGTTAACACTAGTTAACATCACTAGTTAACAAACACACACTAGTTAACATCACTCACCTAGTTAACAACAACAACATCACTAGTTAACACCAAACAACATCAATAAGTTAACAACAACACTCACTAGTTACATACATCAGCCTAGTTTAAACAACATCACTAGTTTAACAACAACAACAACACTAGTTAAAAACAACATCACTAGTTAACAACATCACTATTACAAAATCACTAGTTGACAACACAACATCACTAGTTAACACAACCACATCACTAGTTACAACAACAACATCACTAGTTAACAACATCACTAGTTAACAACAATCAACATCACTAGTTACACAACATCACTAGTTAACAACATCACTAGTTAACAACACCTCACTAGTTAACAACACAACATCACTAGTACAACAAACAATCACTAGTTAACAACAGCACTAGTTAACAAAGAAACAACATCACTATTTAACAACATAACAGTTAACAACATCACTAGTTAACAACATCACTAGTTAACAACAATCACCATCACTAGTTAACAACATCAACATCACTAGTTAACAACATCACTATTAAGCAACAATCAACATCAATAGTTAACAAAACATCACTATGTCACACATCACTAGTTTACAACAACAACATCCACTAGTTAACAACTATCACTAGTTAACAACATCAACATCACTAGTTTAACAAACAATCAACATCACTAGTTACAACATCAACATCACTAGTTGTAACAACAATCACATCACTAGTTAAACAATACAAACAAACATCACTAGTTACAACAACATC